CTCATGAATCTTGATGGTGTTCTCTTTGGCTTTCTCCTTGTTTAAGTGATAGATCTCAAGGGTCACACATACCAGCTAAAATTTTTTTCTATGGCGTATGAAAGGAAAAGGAAAAGGAAATCAGGTGTTCTGCGGAATTTTCTGCTCCTCTTCCTATCCCGAATGATGGAATGATGAGTAAAATTGTTTGCTCTATATTTATAGCTTTCTTGGGTACGCGGAAGGACTTTTCTCGCATTAGAAGAGAAGTTCATAGACAAAGGTCCGTATGCTAGCGACGACTTAGCCTAAGAATTGTAGGTGTGACCGTACGTGAACGGAGGGTGGTAGGTAGTTAACCTGGAATATGTGCCTCTGAACTGTCATCAAGCGTGCACCTCATCTGACGTTGACCAGTACCGATGGAATTTCAAAGGTCAAAATCCTGGAACTTGATTATCTTTCTTCACATGTAAACTCTAGCTGGCGACGTCAACGAGTACCCTTTACCATGGTAGGTGATTGCGTGACGTTAAATTTAAGACGGATCAACATAATGATAAAATTCCTTCCCATTTATGAAATCGGGAATAAATGGACGAACAGGTTGTCCAATATTTTAAGTATGAAAACATTAGATTAATCAACTAATTCTATTGCGTTCTTCAGATGGGCTTCTTCCCCAGTTGGTGATGTAGTTGCTGCTGATGTCAAGTACGGAATGGAAAATAGGAGAAGGATGGTTTTAAGAATACGCATTTTCTGTCAAGATTGGCTTGGCGGATTGGCAGATTAGGTATTGAATATGTCCTCATATGTTCTCGATCTTAACCATCCTTAAAGAGGACTGCATGGATGTGTTCTAATGGCTTTTTGTGTAGCGGGAGTTCGCCTGCTATCTCTTTTGCCAACAATGCCCAGGTCTCCATTTTAAAGGTGGTCCTTATCCTTCGAAAGAGTGATGTCGGCCATTTCTTTTTGTCGGAGTATCCCCCCGATCTAAGCGCAGAAATATTGCCGCAACAATACTAACTAAAATGACGACAGCCAGATCTGCCAACCGAGACGCAAATGTCTCAGATTTTAGACCAGCCACAAAGCAGGGGCGTTCTCTAGAGGGCTGGTTTAGATAGTTAATCTCGTACCAGTGCCAGAGAGCGGAGGATACTCACGAAATTAAATTGTAAGAGAAGTTATCAGTTAAAATTTAAAATTGAATATTAACCGAAGGTTGAAATTTTTTTAGGCCACCTTACGTCCGTGAAGCCCTTCTAGATGTCACATTAGATGTGCCACAAAATATAAAATGCTGTACATAATTTCTATGGTGTTTACTCACTTGGATTTTTCTTCAATAGGATTATTTCTGTTTGATCAACTTCGAAAAGTATTCATTTAAAAAACTTAATGTCCACTAGAAATTTATCAAATTTTTAAATTTTTTTGGAATCCGAAATTATTCAGTCTATGCTTAGTAACATCCATTCCCGAAAAAATAGGTTGACTTTGGCTCCTTAATAAAATGGTTTAAATCTCATTGTTTAATTCACTTCTAGCTTAGAGTAACATCCAGTTCAATGGTTTTTAAAATTTAGCCTCCTGTCTCTCTCATTGAGAAATAATTTCCAGTTGGATCGCAATTCTTTTTACAACCTTTTAGGGCAATAATTTACTCCAAGTTGTACACCATTTGTATTGCCTACAAAATATTCCTCTTCATTCACCTCACCGGAGAGGGAAAATTTTAAATACTTTGTATTAATTAGGAGATAAAACGCATGGTTTAAATGAACACTGCAGTAACCACGATCACCCCCGCAGACGCTTCAAATGCGGATTACATTTTGTTGATAATTCAAGATAGGTTTCATTCAGTCCATACTATAACTTTCAGAGTTTCATTTACTATTAAGTACCAGGCTCTCTAATTTAAAATCAACTAACTATAAAAAATTATATTTTGAAAAAATATTTCTCATGGAAGCAATAATAGAGTTTTTGATCATTGGAAATCAGTGTAGATTATTTTTGAGGATAATGGAACCAAGTATTGTATAATTCTGTTTTAAAAATTATCCTTTCCTTTAAACCGATGAAAGATTGCTCAATTAACTTTGTTGCCAAAAATTTCATAAACAGATCTATTATTATAGCTTCCCTCACCATATATGAAAGTGAAACCATACATTTCCATTTGCATATTTGTAAAGCCAGTTGTTTTCATTAGGTAGTTGTCTTAAACAGTTGTGATTTATTTTTGTGTCTTCACTCTTTATGTCTCTCTTTACTTTATTTTAGCAGCCCACATGAAAAGATTTCCTCCTGTCAGTAATTATCAGCATTTTTACCAAAGTTTTCTCATATATTCATGTAGTTCTATATTATGAGTAGTTTTAATCATGGAGCACGTCTGATTCACATAACTACTGTTCCTTTGTTAGTTTGACTCATTAAAAAAATAAACTTTGTCAAGTTATATTCTTCTCTGACATATCATCGAAAAAAAAACCCATAAACATCGTATGAAGTCTTCAAACAATGCACAATATTTAATTCAATTCATTTGGAGGTGGTCCAGAATACGGATTTGAACGCAGAGGATGATATTGTCACTGAAATTAAAAACTCGTCAAAATATTGCCCTTGTTTCAGGGGTGCTTTCCAATATTCGTCAAGTACTATATCCTGAAAATCATGAAATAAAAATAACATGATTGAGTAGAAAGGGGGGATAAATGATTCTTCTACTAGAAGAGCTTATTAGATGTGCTTTAATTGCATTGCTCCTAGAGTCAGTCTTTTTTGTCATTAACCTTGACTCTTAAACTTCACTCAGTTTATTACGGCAAGTGTACCATTTTATTTAGAAGTGATTTCCTCCAATTACAGATTTTCTATAAGAAAAGTATACACGTCACCCTATGTGATACTCACCATTCATCCAAATAATTAGTTTATTAGCCGACTCAACGTGCCAACATTAAAATAATGAAACTATTATTTAGATTTTAATACTTCGATTTCTTAGACTAGAGGTACAATCTAGTCAATATCATTCCGAAAAGAATCTCTACCAATGATTAACTGAAAAAAGTACGAAAAATGTTTTCACCCACATTATATGCTGTTCGATGTGAGATCTGAAAATTTCCGACATCGTTTTCAGCAGCTTTTGATCGAAACATGTTTCAAAAAATTTGTTCTAGAACCCACGGAATTCAGTAAAGTCCCAATGAATTGTCGGCGCCCTTCAGCCTTTCATTGAGTCTTCACTGGCGTTTTCGCTACATCCGTCGCCTTTTCTCCCAGTTTGGAGGCTGGCATAGATCTCTCCCGCGAGAATTGTTGGTGCGACCGTAAGACCTTAGGATATGAAATACTAAGTGCGATATCCCATTGAAGCTGACAACCGTCGACAGCGTTGACATTCGGAATTCAAACCCCGGGATCCATGAAACGCGGGCCGTCCGAAAATCTGGTCAACGATGTGTGTACGATGTCGTTATGTGATTCTAGCGGATAACCCTAGGGTTGACTTCAATGGAAAAAAAATCTGGGCAGGAAATCAGGTCGTGTCCATCGCGTCGCGGTCTGCTGACGATGCGATGATTGGATAGCCGCCGGTGTAAGGCTAGACAAGAAAGAACGACGCGGGATTAATATAGTTGAGGTTGACAAAGCCGTTCCAGGGTGGATAAGATGTAAACATGGATAACCAGAGGATATCAACGGGGCGGGGCCCAGAGATCTGTACTGAACAATCCCTGGCCTGAACCGACGTAAACTCCGAACCGGAAGGGCATACAAAGGTTGCCGCAAGTTGTAAGTGAGGCCGACGATTGTTCCGGCAGGCGGTCAAGAGATTCGAAGGTGATAAGTTCTTAGAAATGGCAAGGGTAAAGCTGTTTCCGGTTCTGGTTTACTAGTTATCCCGAAAGAAGATATTCCAAGCGCGTCATGTGAGAACGGTTCCCGAAGAAGAGTTTGGTGTGGCAGACAATGATTCGCTCATTCTAGAGACTGTTCTGAAATAAGGCCGATAATTAGTTTCTGTGAGAGAGAGGTAGGTGAATAGCTTCCGTGCCCTTCTATTCAAGAGATTTTTAGGAGGATCCACCCCATGGTATAATAAGATAGCAGAATATGCCCGACAAAGTGTAGATATGGAGATGATGTAATTGATTGGAAGGTTGGATTACGTGTGAAGATCGAGTGTCGCGCCCTCATCTTTGACGACCTTAATTGAAAACAAAATCTGACGGTGAACGCTAAAAGCTGGATGGAAGAGTGGAGACCTTGTTCACGGATTACCGCGTGAATATTCGTTCTAAACCGCGGAAAGTCGGGTCAACACACTGGAGGAGGGAGGGGAGGAAAAGGTTTTCTGGCTAGCTGGACTACACATTAGGTATGATGAAGCTTCTGCCGGAATTGGCTTTGAAGATCTTCAGAGTTGAACAAACCCTACCGAACGCCTGTCGAATGACTGCACCAACTGACCCTTCTCAGCTTCCATCAAATCCTTACGGGGTTAAAAAAGGTTATTCTCTTTACAAGAGTGACTACGACCTGTTCGGAGTTGTTGACGCCAATCTCTCGCTGACGTGTCAACTAGATTTTCTATAATTCGTAATAATACTTCCAGTTTTCATCTTCCTGCCCAGTATCAACTAATCTATCCTTTCATTCCATGTTCATGCCAATCATTTACTTTCCAAGCGTTATTGACTTGCGTAAGAAGTTTAAATCTTCTGATTTCGTCATCCCTGAACTTGAAATCTTGTGACATGTTTTAATTGAATCGGCATCTGTTATATTCATGACCCTGCTCTCCCGACTCATATTTATCTAATGCAAAGAAGTGGTTCCATGCACATTTGTACTAATAAAGTTATCCTCGGAATTATTATATGGAGAAACATATCGGCGCAAGTGTGTATGACTCTACTGAGGTATTTTCACTTCTTTGGGAAATAAAATGCAGGAACATGTCCTTGAAAACCTTCTGCTGGGAGATAATT